ATATATATATATATATATATATATATATATATATATACACACACACACACACACACTTATGCCCCACATTGAATAATACCTCGACTGACTTTGTCCCCTTGAACATTATGTGTGTGTTTAATATAATGCAGACAATTCCATGTCAGTCATAAATTATCGAATAAATCGGACGTCTCCGTGCTCTGCATGTCGCTCTAAACCACTCTAAACTGATTGTGATGAAAAAGTAATGGGAGAGTAGCGCATGAGAGGAAACGCGATGGATTCAGAGTGCAGAATACGGAGGCTCGACTGTAACGTGTATCGCAGTGTACGGGTTTAATCTTACTTTTTCGTCTCTTTTTCGGGTCTTAATTATGTATAGATTTTCTAGACCATAAAGAAAATACTTAGTCACGTAAGATTTATTATGGGTGGTATAGATTTAATGAGATCTTAAATAAACTTCGAAAAAAAAAAAAATCTGTCATTGGCTTGTCACCTTTTCCCAGCTTATTGTCTTTTCTCTTCTTACCCGTTTGTGCGCGCGAAAAATATGCCGTGAAAGTTTTCCTTTGATATTGCAAATCTTCTTTTAAAATGATCATCATCAAAAATTTCTAAATAATTTATACGTGGCCTGATTATACGTGGTTTTCGTCGATTCCTTCTGATTGGAAGATCATAACCCTCGTATTCATAGAATAATAAAAAATTAATAATTCTATCCACGTTACATAAACACGTTTTCGTAAATATTTTAAATAAAAATCGAAACATCTTTATTCAAATTAAAGAGAAGTAGTATAATATTTGAAAAGATTGGTTAAGAACGACATACACAACGACAAATATCTTGTTGTTGGCGACACTGCTGATTGAGTTAATCGTCGATTAAAGTTAATCGGCGTTGGTCGAAGTGGCCCTATATGATCAATATGTTGTGCGTCAATATGTTGAGCCTAAATCTGATGACGCACAACATATAGATCATATAGTTATGAATAAATCTGCCTAATGCCTAAATCTGATGACACTTTGTGTTCAAGTCGGTACACAAAAATGTAGTCCTGCCGTATAATTGTTATTAGGCGATCCCAAAATATGCGTTTGATTCAAGGACGTTGTCTCACCTAATTGAGAACTCGTCTTAATCACTGGTGTTCTAATATCGAAGTTGTTCTCGGCTGCAAACGATTGTTCCTTTCAAGAAGATTGTTCCTTTATATAAATCTTCTTTAAAGGAACAATCGTTTGCAGCCGATAGAAAGCTCTGATCTTGATCGTCATCTGGAGTTTCGGGTGTCGAATCGGGGCATATGCCGCTACTGCTCTTGGTAGAGCACTAGTTCAGCAACAATGAGCAACACTCTCAGAGAGTGCTCATCTCTGAGAGTGTTGCTCATTGTTGCTGAACTAGTGCACTATGGAACTTAGAAAGAAACAGATACAGCACCGGTCAAAATAGTTTACATGGAAAGGAAAGTCGTTACTTTAATGAAGAAAGACGTAAGTACATAAATGTTAACCCTAGAATCCATGACTGGGGTCGATTTCGACCCCAGGCGAACTTTGAACTACGCTCCTGAGCTAGCGAGTGACATTATCGACTCAGGACCTGAACCATAATTCATTTCAACTTTCTAAAAGTAGGGTTATGTCGGGCGCAGCGTTAGTTGTTCGCTAGCAGTGAAGTAGCACAGTCGTAAAGCGGGCGTGGGGTCGATATCGACCCCAGTCGTGACTTGCCGTTTGAGTTTCGTCACGGTAAGCTAATTTTATTTTTTCGCTAGAATCAATATATATCATGTATTATTACGTAATCTGAGCATAAATAGTCATAAATATTATTTAAGACGAAATATCACACAATTTAGTCGGTAAAAATCCCGTTGCCTAAGAAGATTGACATTTCGCAGAAAATGGCTGGGCGATATAATGTTTCATTTTTTTCATATTTTTTACTATTTTGTATCAAATAAAAATGAAATAATACTTAAAATACAATTTTTTACGGTTTTTTCATCGACTTTTTCCGTATTTCAACTTTGCGAATTTCTTCATCTTTATAGTCCCAAATAAATATACTTTTTGAACAGAACATAGCGATGACAAATTTTTTCTAATAGTCTAATGTGTCCTCTTTAAAACCCCGTTTGAAATTTTAAAATCGGTTGATTACAAAAAAAGATACAAATTTTTGTTTAAAAAAAGAGGTTTTTGCTGATTTTCTGCGTTTTTCAGTCTTTAAATGGATTTTTCACTAACTAAACTTGAGTAAAATTAAATTTACCGTATACCATTCTCTTCGTTATTAAAAAACGAAGAAATTCATGTAGGTTTAAAGGCCCTTTATTTCTGTAGGACCGGTTTTACGATCAAATAAAGCGTGGGGTCGATATTGCCCCCAGTCATGGATTAGAAGGTCAAAAAAATGTATCATGGATTCTAGGGTTAAATATAACATTTTATTTTAGTGCTGTTATTTTATGCTTTAACAGAAACACTTTGATAAAAAAAAAAAAAGATATCTTAATGATTTAACCCTAGAATCCATGAGAGGGGTCGATTTCGACCCCAGGCAAACTTTAAAAAAAGAGGTTTTTGCTGATTTTCTGCATTTTTCGGTCTTTAAATGGCTTTTTTCACTAACTAAACTTGAGTAAAATTAAATTTACCGTATACCATTCTCTTCGTTATTAAAGAACGAAGAAATTCATGTAGGTTTAAAGGTCCTTTATTTCTGTAGGACCGGTTTTACGATCAAATAAAGCGTGGGGTCGATATTGCCCCCAGTCATGGATTAGAAGGTCAAAAAAATGATACATGGATTCTAGGGTTAATTGACGTTGAATGATTATCGTTTACAATAATACGAAACAACACAATTAAATCATGAAGATCTTAACTTAAGACTATTAATTTTCATTATATTTTATTATCGATAATTTTCACACATATGCGTGTATTATTACCTTTTCATTTTAAATAGAAATTATTGTAGTAGGAAAAGAGACAGACGCGGAGTCTTCTCGTTCGAACGAGGACGCGGTAGAACAGGTGAATGTATACATACATGTAACATGTGAATTGCGTGTGTTTAGGCGTGATCGCCTAGTGAGGTCAAGGAATCTTCTATTGACCTCGTCGCTAAGCGATCACGCCTAAACACACGCAATTCACGTGCTACATGTAATTATTCACCTCGCGTCCTCGTCCGAACGAGAAGACTAAGATAATAATATTTCTTCAGGCAATGACAACTTACAACAACTTACGAAGACGAGGGTCTCCCTTATCGTCTTTATCCCCTCGTGAGATATCGTCCACGTACTTAGTCTATCGGGTAAACGCGACGCGGCACGCGGGGCACCGCCGCCGTCGAACAGGTGGACCCTCGGAGATCGTAGTACACGGGGGATGGGCGGCGAGGAGGGAAAGAGAGCCAGACAGACAAGTTAAATAGTACTACACTCGCGCGAGTATTATTCACACGGTAGAAAAAACAGGCCATACACAACACACATACGATGGGCTGTGTTATCTTACAATGGCTGTGTTCAACGTTTAACAGGAGCCTGGAAGGAGCTCGTCTCGATGATAGTTCTTGCACACAGGACGATAGGACACGGAATGACGGAAACGGCGGGAAACGGTTGCCGGTTGCCGCACGGCAAGAAGCGACATGGTAGCCAATCAACATGTCGCTTTCTCAAGCACGACCACTCACTGACCGGCTAAGTAGCAATAGAATGTGATTGGTTCTTATCTTTGGATCCAACCAATCACACGTTGGTTACCGCGTCGCTTCTAGGGTGCGTTCGGGGAGACTAGGGCCGGTATTCATAAAGACCGTCTTAAGTTCAATCTTAAGATGTCATTAACCAATCACAGAGCCGTATTAGCGTCTTAAGACATTACTTAGACGATCTTGAAGACTATGAATACCGGCCTAGGGATCCTCTGGAGGATCCCTACTGTCGGCCCGGCGCGGACGCCCGGGGCCCGGGTCACAGAATCTGTGTATGTACATACATATATACTTTACGGAACGGTAAGAAAATTAAAAAGATTAGTAATAATTTATGAAAATATAGCTTTTGTGTCAGATCAACTTCTTTACACATTTTTTTTCAACCAGCTGGGACAAAATACGAAATTTAAAATTGTAAATATATATATAATATTATGCACAATCGCAGAGAATTAATCAATTTATTAAATTGTAACTATGTAAGTTGTATTATTCGACCAATAAAGATATAAATTATATTATTTATACCATTTTTTTATACCTCGGTAAAAAATTCGCTTTCGTCGGCTGCATTCGGGGAGCGCGCTATTAGCGCTATTTGCTTATTCTATCCTTTTGTTTTACATTTAATGAGCGATAAAGATAGAATGATACAATAGCGCTAATAGCACGCTCTCCGAATGCAGCCGTCATCTGACGTGATCTGACGCATGCGCGAAAGATCCTTCTCTTATTTGGGATAAGAAAATAGTGCGGAAGTTTATCTGCACCTGCACAATGGGTGGCGTTACCGCGTGTGTTATCTTCATGCTCACGTGGACGCAGTGTTAAAAGAAAGGTATGTGTAATAATGAGACATAGCGTAACTTAAAAGAAACTAAAAAGTTTTGCGATCTGATAATTTATCTACTCGATTGATTCCTCACGTAACATTTTGCATTAACAACTCAACGTAATATATACCACGATCTAACCTATCCCTGGCTGGATATCACTTTTGCCGGAAGAGAAAAGAATGAGTGGATCAATTAAAGTGATATTTAATTTTATTAAAAGAAATTGATAAAGTTATTTCATTTTTATTCAGAAATTGCAGTCATTAAATATAGTCACAAAAATGTATGTGTTGTATAATCTAATAGACGGGTTGAAAGCATCTTAACCACCACCGACCGGTGAAAGATGGGCAAAAGAAATCATTTTGCTGGTTTATTTTTGATAAACTTTGCTGGACTGTTCTAACTTAACATTTAAAAAATACGAAATCAGTCTAATTGTGCTCGTGTTAACATTTATCACGATTATCAGGTAATATGGAGTCAGTGTCAGCCTTCTCGGTATATGCAGGAAAACGTAAGAACACGGAACAGTTGGTGAGCGGAAAGATAAAGAAACGGAACTTGCAGAAAGTTTCCAATAAAAAGAGCAGAAAACAGAAAGATGTTAAACAAACGGACAACGCGAACCAACAGATGCAACGTAAAGGTACCTTGAATATTTTTGCGAAGGACAAAGCCAGCTGAAAAAGATTGTTTAATAACTTAATGTAACTCCTTGTCTGTTGCAGATAAAAAGATAAAATCCACAAGAAAATTGAATGATGTCAATAAAGCAAAATCAAACAAGATAAATAACATTCGAAATACGCATAGAAAATTGAAATTAAAAGCAATAAAGGAACGGAAAAAGAAAAATAAAAAGAATAATTCTGTCAAAAGAGAACCTATTCAGACTGACAAGATATTGACAAGGGATATTGAAATAGGAAACAGTGACAACGATTCAAGTGATACAAATTGTACAAGTCCTTTAGGTAATGCAAGTAATGAAATAAATGAAAAATATGACGATGATCAAAATCTTAATGAATTAAAAGCAACAAAGGAACGGAGAAAGAAAAGTAGAAAGAATTCTGTCAAAAGAGAAGCTACTCAGATTAACAAGATATTGACAAAGGATGTTGAAATGGGAAACGGTGAGAGCGATTTAAATGATACAAATTGTACGAGTTCTTTAAACAATGAGATAAATGAAGAAGATGATGATGATCACAATCCTATTGAATTCAGTCGACATTTATTCCAGTGGTTGTTGCAGCCTATAAATATAGAAACCTTCTTCAAGTAAGTTGAAATCGATAATTATATACGTTTTGTTATGCATTAATGTTGATTCTTTTTTTTTTTTTTTTTCATTTAAATCAGAAAAAATTGGGAAAAGACTCCGTTGTACGTGAAAAGGGATATGCCTAATTTTTATAAGCACCTTGTATCGACGCCTTTATTGGACCAAGTGTTGAGAAAGAATCATATTTTATTCACCAAAAATATTGACATAACATCCTACTCTGATGGAGTGAGAGAGACTCACAACCCTCCCGGTCGCGCTTTGCCGAGCGTTGTTTGGGACTATTATCAGAATAAGTGCTCCATAAGGATGTTAAATCCTCAAACATTTATACCCGCGATACACGCGATGAATGGTAAAAAAATACAATGCAGTTATACTCTTACAATTTTTTTATAATTCTTTTTTAATTTGTATGACTCATTTCGCAGCTACCCTCCAAGAATTCTTCGGCTGTTTCGTTGGCGCCAATTTATATCTCACACCACCTAATAGCCAAGGTTTCGCGCCTCATTACGACGACGTAGAAGCATTTATATTCCAAATCGAGGGTCAAAAGAGGTGGAGGCTGTACAAGCCACTTAATGAGAACGAATTTTTACCGAGGTACTCTTCTAAGAACTTTGATCAGTCGGAGATCGGAGAGCCTATACTGGACACAATTGTCAAAGCTGGGGATTTGTTGTATCTACCGCGGGGAACCATCCACCAAGGAATGACTCTCGAAGATACTCACAGCTTGCACATCACGTTAAGTGTGTATCAAAAAAACAGTTGGGTCGACTTGCTTGAGAAAGCGCTTCCACAGGCTCTGCAGCGAGCTGCCGAAAACGATAGCCGTTTTCGTCAGGGGCTGCCCCTGAATTATTTGAAATACGTCGGCACTGGGTGTAACACGAATGACCGAAAGGATGTTTTTAAGAACAATATTAAGAATTTGATTGGTCTACTGCTCGAACATATTGATGTTGATAACGCGGCCGATTTGATGGCCAAAGACCACATCCACGATTTTCTACCTCCTTTTCTGATGAAGAAGGAACGGAAGTGTACAGTGGCGGAAGACGGTGAGATTATGACCAACGACGGGGTCGTCAAGAACTGCGCGGAAATACTGCCTGAGACAAGGATACGTTTGTTAAGATTGCATTGCATGAGGTGAGTTATAGAGTTAATTTCTAATTTATTCTGAAAAGCGAGTTCAAGATAGGACGATAATAACTGCATTACTGTATTATTAGGTTAATAAAAGAAGATACATATAGGATATATTATTCCACCGAAAATTCGAAAGAATATCACGAATATGAGCCGCAGTTTTTGGAAGTTGACGAAAAATATGTGCCCGGAATTAAGAAAATGATAATAACCTACCCTAATTTTATATCTGTGAAGGAACTGCCAATAGAAGATGACGAAGAGAAGGTAATAAAGCATATATTGTTTACGATATTTTATTAAATGTGTATACGATGTTATCTTGCGACTAATGTAACTGAATATATTATAGATCCAAATAGTGAAGGATCTCTGGGAAAAGGGTTTAATCTTAACGGAGGAGCCTCTGTGTTGACCTACAAATTAATTTTGTTAAGAAGAATAAATAAGCCAAAAGCCAGAACTATACGAAGCTGTTCATACAAATGTCTGCAATATATGTTACATAGGTAATTTATTTGCTCCGAAAATAAAGTTTTGATTCAGCATTCGCACGAAACGGATAATAGCTATGTGTATTACATAGAAAATTGTGTACAATAGATACTGAATATCAGTAGTATAATATTGATAGTTGATTCCTATTTTGTAATTCGTATTAGCTCTTGCAATATATTTTGCATTTTATATTCTCTTTGCGTATATATGATGGTTCTTAATTATATAGAATAATATTCAGGAGATGGAACTTTTTAAATTTTACGACATAAAGGTTATACGATATACATTCTTTATTCATATCATTACTTGTATTATTTGATTGCAATTTTATAGTAAACCGTTTTTTACTTTCTGTTTTTCATTATCTGTTCAAATATTTTTTGTTAATACTTTTTGAGTAGTTTTTCGCTAGGATTTCTTTTATTTTTTTTTTTATCATTTCTTCATCGCTTTTAAATTCAATTTTACGTCATAAGATATTGGCATATAATTAAAAACCACCATCTGTGATTCAAGTCCGTGTTCAAATCTAAAATCTTCACGTTCCGATTCTGAGCTTGTTGCGTTTTTCTTGTGTGACATGATCCCTCTGTCTTCCCAATACATACTCGACATATTCCAAATATCCGTCGTTGTTTAAATCATCCTCTTCCAACACTTTGTCTATTAGCCCTAAGGCAAGATAGAAATTAGATCATTTTATCGCATATTTTAAAAAGAATCGGCGTAATGTTTGTCTTTTCTAACTGTTGAATTTCATTTAGACGTACCTACGATCCAGTCTTGATCCGATTGCATCGCATCTTCCTCGTCAGAGTATGCTGAGCTCTCGTGCAAAGAGTGTTGAAGAGCGTGAAGAATTTCTAATCCGTCTAACTTTGTATTATTGTCGACATCGTGAATCCTATAATTACGAAATTATATTAGCGATACGTGAACGGTTTGATAAACATGTATAAACGAGAGGCGATCTCTGATGTCTCAAACGTACTGAAAATAGTGGAACTCTATTTCTTGTTCAGTCATTTTCGAAAAATCCAGTTGATCGGCCATGGAACCCATATCTTCCTTCAGATGTCTAAAGTCATGAGATAAAATCACGAATTACATTTACACGAATATTAAATTGGGGATATATTTCGGTACTTGAATATCGCTGTAATCAGCAATTATCTTTAAAATTATTGATACGTCAAAATATTTTATATACCTATACATATAAATGTATAAAGGAATTAATTACTATAAAGCAGCAAGTTTATTTAGAGAATAAGTTAGTTTGCTTAATTGTGTAATTTAAATCTCTCACGTTGCATCGTGAAGGAGTTCGGCGTCCTGCGTCAATTTCACGTCGTTCTGCGGTGCGTGATGATGATGGGACACGCTGCTCTTTGGATGATGGGGTCCACGAAAGTGGCCGGTCGCTAGGCCGAGGTAAAAGCTGATTAAAAATATTGTCCCCATTGCGCTATCTGAAACAAATTGTCGTCGATGATGATATTTCACCCTCCGTTACATTAAGTATAAACGTTTTGGAGAAACTTAACGACATGATACGAGTCTCATAAACTTTCAAACAAATTTAAGTAAGATATTAGTTAGAGAATTGCATTTCGTGGTGGTTTGTACACGATCGGGTGTGTGCGATTCGGAAAGAGCGGTGATGACTGCCGGGGGGCGTCTCCACTCCGCGACATTCCGTACGGTGCCCATCGACAATGGGACCTGCTGGGACATGTTCATCGGGTGTGTCGCCGTGTGTGGAGAGTGCCCGCTTCTTCCGAGGGTCGAACACCCCGTCGGCCAGCGACAGATGGGCGGTAGAGGGGGTCCACGGTAATTATTATGCGATTACCCACAAGCCCATTGATTTAGATTGGACCCCAGGGGGGCGAGCTGCACGATCGCGGGGCCCATCCCGATTTGTTACAAGACCAAGCTCGAAAGTGCTCGACGTGGTACGTTCAGCGAGATTTCCGCGCCCTTAAGACGGTTCGGTTCGCGATATTTCTTTTATTTCAGCATTTATTCGAGAATGGCGAATAATAAAAGATAAGGGATATTTCCACTCTCGCGTTTTACGCATCAGAATAACATTTAAAATATTATTTCTCGTTAATAAAACACTTATTTGTGACAACTATTGAAGCTAGTCATTGCAATACTCGCAATATCATTCTTGTTCTGTGTCTGGAAAAAAAAGCGGGAACGAAGGGGACAAGTACCGATGTATGTAGGTGTTAAAAGACACACAAGGCCGACACGAATACGGGGTACTTAGGAATCAATTTTATATAGGCTTACGGTGATCTCGAAGCGAGAATGCATATGTTAAGGGGAGAGCGGGGGAGTCCCCCGGGGGTTTTCGATGCGCGAGCGGACCCGGGGGGGTCTTCGACGCACCCCAATCCCGCGTCCGCCTCTATTTCTCTCTCTCTTTCTCTCGGGGTGTCGAAATCTATAAATAATTTATATCATTTGGTCCATTCACGACGGGAGAGCCCATATGTACCTGTGTCGCCTTACAGGGGACCTGCGCCTACTCGAGATTCTCCTCCCCGATCGTCGGGATCGGCGACGATCTCCCGTTACCCGGTGCGTAACGAGTACACGAGTGAGTTTACAGATTTAATGCCGATCGCTCGGTCATGGAGCGAGATTGACGTATTCGCGTATACAGGTGTTAACGGGACAATAACGCGAACTTGGTATTTTTTACGTCTTTTTCGCACATTTGTTTTATTTATCTGTCCTTCCACCCAGGTATAGCAGAGTGACGTCAAATGACAGATTATTAACGTTTTAATGACGTCTCTAACGTCAATAATACGTCATTAAGGCGTCTTTAGATGTCATCCTGCTACCTGCATAGTTTTCGGAAGAGCTTAAAGTAGGCCAAGACGTTCCATTAATCTTAGAGTGGTATTTTCTGCCTTTCATTAATATCTTGTGGGATTTAACGATACCCACGTCGCACAAATTTCCGAGGGAATTAACTTTGATAGAAACAATCTAGACGAGGAAATCGCTATTTCGCTGCTGATGCAACTCGGCTTTAGGCTCGGAGCGATAAAATTAGTATGTTATTAATAAAGCTAAAATGTCATTGTACAACACGCATAAATATAATATTGTCATTATATGCCGCGTAATTGCATATTAATACTCGTACATTATATTTATTTATGTATCAAATTGTTAAATCTGTTCGAATACATTGCATTTATATATCTGTACCTTAGAGATAAAGAATCGTATATCTCCATTATTAATATAAATTAGAAAAAACAGGTTTAAAGTTTATTATTTCTATGAAAATTTCCAATATGACTTTTTCTGAACATTGTATCTTAGGAACTGGTAATGAAAATATAAAACCTTTTACTATTATATATACAATTCAAGTTCCTGGTATATTGAAAAAAATAAATTAACTATCTTGACAAAAACTGGAATTATAACGAATCTTTATCTGTAAGGTACATATCGCACCTCGAGAAGAATACTGTCACAATTTAAAAAAAAACTTCGATTTTGAGTTAAGCTCATAAAAAGTACGCCAAAAATGTTACTTATGTGTTATAATAGTGCCACAAGTCTATATTAGACCTCTTCAAGAAACAGTATAAGTTTCATTATAACAAAATATTGCGTTAATTATCTCACAATTAAAAAAAATTGAATTATTTGTTTTTCCTCTTTCCTGAAAATCGTGAATTGAGTTGTGACAGTATATTCTTCTCGGGTGATCGCGATATATACGATACGATTTAAAATACGTCAAGCATATTATTATTCGCGACATGTATTTGACATTGTCCAAGTGTAGATTTAATATCCGCGATTAGTTTATCAGTATCGGGGCGAGATCGGACATATGTCTCCGCAATACGCAAAATCATCGCGAAACCCGACGTGTTTCCGCGTTTCTCGGCAACGATCCTCTAGCCGTTGGGCATCCGTTGGTCATGACTATCTGCGGGTATCTCGCGTCTCGCTAGGCTGGAGGCTACCCTTCGCGGAGGGTAGTCGCCACCCCCCGGATAGATGGAGCGCTAGGTCGGTGGTCTTATAACCTGAGCTCTCCTCTCTCACCCTTGGAATCTCGTGGCACAGGTGACGAACGGCCTGGCATTTTACATTTTACCCTTTACCTTGTCTTGGACGTCTCGCGGCGGTGCGTCGATCGACCCGGCCGGCGATGGATCCGACCCCGCCCGCGAAGATCGACTGCTCGATCCACCTTCCGTTCTTTCTCTCTCTCTCCCTCTCTCTTGATCCCCTGCGCGATTCCACGAGAATCCTCGACTTGATCGGCGTGAAGCGCGCGCGACGCTTATCGACGTTTTTCCAGGCGGAGTTTGCGTGCTGGACGAGTTGCTCCGAACGCACGGCCGCGCTCTCTTTGAGCGGGCTCCTCTCGTTTGGTTTTCGTCCAAATCCCTGCGAAAAGTCGGCTAATCCGATCATCTCGCTTCTTTTGCCGCGCGGAATAAGCGCGCGGATTACTCCGCGCGGCTCACGCCGCGCCGGGCGTCCACCGTCCAGGAAGGACCCGGGGAGCCTGAAATTCTTCGGGAATTTTCCCCGTGTATAGAGAGGAATCGGGGAATTATCAGGGAATTTTACCGGAACTCAGGGAATTTCTGTCGAAATCATCCCCTCGGCGATCTTGCCTTTATCTTGCGAGAAAAAGAACGATCGGAGGTCGGTCAAATTAACAGTTAGACCCTGCCTTGTTCAGCATATATTTATTTTCAACGTCTTTGCGAGAGAGTTAAATCAATTAAAATGTATTCTAGATATATTTTCTATTTTAAAAATATATTCTATCTAGAGAAAATATATATATTTAATTATATATTTTTAAAATATATTTTAGATATATTTTTTATTCACATAAACACATAAAAGCTCTCATACGCACGGTGCGACCTTTATATCTGGTTCTATTTCTTGAAAAAGGGAGCAAAATTTGTATGCTAAATGAGATACCATTCTATAGAAATTTTTCCATTTTTTTCAAATCTATTATTTGACACTTTGAGTGACCCTTCA